ACAGACCCTACGCCATATTTCCCAGCAGCAGGAATCATTTTTGTTCAAGGAATTTGTGGAATGAGTTATGGTAAAGACAGCAGTACTCTCTTTTTAATTTAGAATAAATTATTTTATTGTTTTTTTTCAAAAGGTTTTCTAATATCTTCCCTGTATGATGAAGAAATAGAAACAACACAAGTGGCGCTCGGAAGTGTTTTTCCTGTGCTAATCTGTTCAGGTAAATTTCTTTTTCGAACATACTTGTTTGGGTTTTTTTTACTAATAATTGATTAAAAATTAAAGGTATAATGTGGCCACTTGAAGGCATGCCACCAGTAATGCGTTTTGTAAGTAACTTTACTCCATTGACGCAGACTGTTGAAGCAATACGATGTATCGCTGGCAGAAGTATTTGGTTCTTTTCTTTATTTTAACAAAAAATGACTTGATGCAATATTTAGGTTGGTCACTTACACACTTTAAAGTATGGTTTGGTTTTGTCAATGCTAGTTCATGGAGTCTGGGGTTTTTCATCATAGCTGCAATTATATTTGCTCTTAGAAAACGAAATTTTTTGTTCAGTATATGATTTACAGAACTGACAATAAAAGCTTAAAATCTTTCTTAATAATCTTTTTCAACTGTAGTTTGACTGTGAGCGTGACTGGGAAATATGGCGTAGGGTCTGTATGTCTGTGGATGTTGAGTATGAGTGTAGCTGTATGTGGTGTCAATCTTTTCTTTTGCACACCCAAACTCAGACCCAAACCGTTTTGCCGTTCGTCATAGATAGAGATCTGAAACTGTTAGAACTAAAAGATCTTGATTAATTTTGTGTTTTAACAGAATTTCACCTCTATTGGTCAAACAAAAGTGGGAAAAAATATCAGTAACACTGTATTCTCAGTTATCGTGGGATACTATTTATGCCTCAGTGGCACATGCTTAGAAGAAAAGATCATCAGAGAAAAAAGATCAATGGACATGTTTTGCAAAACAAATTATATCAGGTTGCATTTCGTCACGAGGGCTACTATAATATTTATAAATCTCGAAGTTGAGATTTTTTTCAAAAATTGACTTTTGTGAAGGGGAAAGCCCGTTAAGCAAATTTCTTTTAAATAATGAATCACAGTGCCTTGCATTCTATTTATAACACGTTGTCGTGCGCACATATTTTTACTACTTAAATAAAGCTTTCTTCAATGAAAATGTACCTTACACAATCCTCCGAATGCACTGTTTTTAAAACATTGCGTTGAAGTTATTTGTCATAAGCTTGTGCATGCATCGCATGTCTCTTTTTTGTAGGCATTACACTTTGCAAGCCATTTCGTCACTTTTCTCGTAGCACATTTTTGTGAAACTCTGATATATCTTCGAAAAAAAGAGTGAGTGTAAGCTTTATGCTAAAGCTTTTGCATCTCCCCCTCCCCACTTCAGACACACAGTAAGGCATGTAGCCTTTGCAGATATCTAGAAACGTAGGTCCTTCTTACAGACACAGTAATGTAGGGCGCCATTACAGGCAACCCTTATTACGAACAGTCTCTCACTGTACACATTAATAATTTAATAATAAAAAAATAACACTTCACTATTCTACAAAAGTCCGGAATATTCTGAAATTTTTAAATAAAGCTCAATAGATAGCG